GGAACGGACTCTCCGGATTTACCCGGCAATTACGGGTGCGGCCGTGGAATTTCAGTGCTCGCACCGTACCGGAACGTCTTTCGCGGTTTCCCCCGGACAGTATCCGTCAGAATGCTCGGATCCTCCGGCATCAACAATCTTCATGGCGCAGATCGTGTCTCTAACCACATCTGCTACAACCATCGCAGATCGCGACTTCAACCACGATTGGCTACCATCACCGGCCCAGAACGGAGCTTCGCCCGAGCCAATCCTGTCTAAGTCCGCAGACCGCGGCGTTCAACCACATTAAAGATGATTATCGAACCCACCAGGCCTCGGCATCAACCCTCTATGTTGCCCAATAGGCGACAGGAGACGAAAATACGGGTTGTTGCCCGGACGGATTGTCCATCAGACCGTAACTACGAGCTGCCTGTCGACTTCAAATCAGCCAGCAGGGCTGCCAGTGGACTCTAACTCGGCAGCAAGGACTACCCTGGGTCTCGACCCTCGAACCTTGAATTTAACCTCAGAATCCGGCATTAACCCTTCCAACGTTGCCCAGTAGGCGACAGAGGTTCAAGACAAGGTTTTTGCCCGGACAGAATATTCAGCCAACAGGATCCGAAGCAGAATCCAGGGCTACCATCGAACTCTACCTTCGTAGTCGAGGCTGCCACTGGACATTAACTTTCCGAGGCTGCCACTGGACTTTAACTTTTCGAGGCTGCCACTGGACTTTAACTTTTCAAGGATGCCATCGGGCTTTAACTTTTCAATCGAGGCTAACCCTCGGATTGGACCTCGAAGCCTGGCTCATCAACCCGGTCTATGTTACCCAATAGGTGACTGGACACGAAATAACGGGTTTTGTCCGGATGGAAACTTCGGAACATCGAGAAGGAACCTTCGGAGCCGACCAGGATAGGGTTTGGACTCCAACTCCGAGGCATTACCCGGTCTAAATTGCCCAATTAGGCGAATAGACGCAAAATTGACGGGTTTGCCAGAACGAAAGACCTCGGAACATTGGATCCGACCGGACGCAAGGGTTGGACTTCCGAGGCAACCATGGAAATGGACCCAATAAGGTCCAAAAGCAGTGTCTCAACGATTAAGACTGTGGTTCACACGGCACCAGCAGTGTAAACTACCCGGAATCACCCCTTCAACCCCTCAAGGCCCAACACTAACCGGTTTAGGTTTCCCAATAGGCAACAGGACGTGAAATTACGGTTTTTGTTCGGACGAAACATCGGAATACCGTTACTTTACCGGAGGATTCCCTCACCCAGCGACCCAATAGGTCGCATACCTTACTCAGGAGGATGCCCTATGGCTTTCGCGGACGCGACGGTGCCTCCCCTATCAACTCACCCTATGAACCTTGGTCGAATGTTAGTACAAGCCCGTCTTACCCGGCTACGGGAGTTCAAGTCAACTTTTACCCGGAGAATCCTGGTCGGAAGTGAGTTTCTCACCCGGCCACGGTGATTCCACCATCTCACCTGGAGTCAACCGGTCGGAAGTAGGCTTAAGCCCGGCTTACCCGACTCTACGCTGAAGTTTAACGGGTTTCATCGGATATCCCGAGAACTGATGCCTCGGACTCGGATGACCGGACAACTGTTGGACAGGAGACGCTGGAAACGGACGTCGTCCTTGTCGGAATAAGCCCCGGATCAAAGACCCGGACCAAAGACATTTGATTTTTATTTGTTTCTAACCCTGAAATGATGTTTAATTAGAATTTAATTTGAGAGAGACTGATGTTTTATTTTTACTTTTATTTTTGACGTTACGGATGTTCATCAACAGAAGCCTACACCGGTCCAACAAGAAACCCGACCGACCTTCGGATTTCTGCCGTGAGTTGTATCGCCACCACGGGTCCGGAGGAGAACGCGTACCGGAGAGACCCACACCGACACCCCCGGCGCAGCCACCGACCCCAATAGGGTCGTGTGCGGAGCAGGCACTGGTGCGGTACGAGACCGGGTCCTTCGCAGGGGCTCGGACTCCCGCCCAGAGGCATATCAGGCCGGTCGCTATGGCAGCCTACGAGATGGCAGTCAGCGACAGCCTTGCTTCCGGTGTGCTGACTCACACACGGAGTCGCACTCGCTATCGTACGCCGTATCGGCCTCGATTCAGGCTCAGCTACGCCTCGCCACACCTACGGCTTTACGTCTCGGCCAATCAGCGTTCGTTCGCTCGTATTGGATCATCCCAGTGCCGCAGATAGGCTTTTTCTATGTTACGCCTCATACAACCGCTCATTCCTGTTTAGTCACGTTTTCGCTCTTGCATGAGCCACATCTCGCCATTGGCGCCTATGCATTATTGCTATCACACAATACCTCATTACTCACTATCGTGAGCCCTCTGTGTTGTGCTGCTGATAGTATTGAAAGCATAACTATAAACAAATTATTGTAAAAAAAATTACCGGGTAAATTTCCAAACTGAAAATTTACGAAACATTCAGTCTTTCAGATTTGATAAATATGGAGTAAGTACACAATTACACTATGTACTTTAAAGAAATAATGTTGTTTGCCGCATTGCAAAGCCTTGACTTACTCACTGCTCATCGCTGTACTCGTAAATTAAAATAATATAATCGAGATGTACTGTACTGTGTAACTGTTTTGCAATGCCGAAATTAGCGAATACTACTCCGCTTGCCACAAGCCTAATGCCGAAGCAAAAAAGTACAGTTTTCTGTTGGGGTGATATGAATTTACGGCTGTCGGTTTTGGAGACTTTTGGTACTCGTACTCGTAGTTTTGGTACGAGAGGGTTGTTAGTTATGTTCTGTCGTATCAGTTTTATTTATTTTTGGATTCATGTAATTATTATATTATTTTCATATTACTATTACTAAACCCTAATGCATCGTTTTCATCTGTTGCCAGATTTGTAAATATGATACAAAAAAGTTATAAGTTTTTTGAACGACGGCACCTTGGAAATTTCGTTCAATTTTCTTATTTTTTGTTATTTCATTTCTCTGGAACGAATCTTTCCAATTCGGAAAAATTTTGAACCTGTGCAGGATCAAGCTTATCGAATATTTAGGTTACATGAATATCCGAACTAAGGATTAAGAAAAACATTTTTTTTTATATTTAGACGCTTTTGGTTTGGGTCCGTCGAGGTGCCAGTTACACCAGTCGACCAACTCCCGCCTCCATTTTTTCGCGTTTTCTCAAAGAAAGTTGTCAAGGTATTTGCAGGTTACTGTAAACGGTTGACAGTTATTTCCGAAAGAAAAGGCTTCTGCAAATAATTTCATTGCTGCGAGGCGAACCAACATAAACGTTTCCTCGAATGCTTTTTGGCTCTTGGTCTCGCACTCCGTTGACAAAACCCTGTTCTGTTCTGCTGCTTCCACCAAGTATGGCGCCAAGCAAACCAGGATCTGTCGTGAGTGTAGTCTTAGGACTGATGGCTAAATGAAAGAAGTTTGGCTTTGCTAAGGAGCAATAATTGCAAAAGCACCAGTAACCACTAGTCAGCGTAAGTGGTGCCCGACGGTACTCCGCCTTGCTGAAAATCAGATCCGCGCGCAATACAGAATCTGGTACTGGAGACCTGGTCTATGCTTCCCTGTCCATCCATCGGACAAACACATTTGGAGATCGGTGTCTGCCAAGCGCAAAAAAATGGCTTGCTATTTTAGGTTCCTCAACAAACAGACTGTTCCGATCTCCTCTCGCCATCCCTTGTTAAAATTCCAGAATAAAAACGACAAGACAAGCGCTCAGTAGTTCACGCACAAGAACATATAATCCCCAACATAACAAACACTTCAGATAGTTAGTGGGTTGCATCCCAATTTTTTAAAAAAATTTAATGTGAAATAGCGCAAGTTATTACAGTTATGATATGCTCTACTTTTTAATAATAATTTCATATTTTTAGTTTCATAACTAATATACGCACGACAGAACATAACTAACAACCCTCGTACATCTGCCAAACGATTTGTTAACGAAATTGGGAAGAGGATTTCGCAACAAACCGGCGAGATTCGTAGTCTTGAGTTTTTGAAACAGAACATTTAGCAATTTAACGTGGTAATGCTGCTTCAGTATCGGGACCGTTGAGAATGTTGCTTTGTTTAACCGTAACTAGATCTTGATATTGTTATCACGCTATTGAATTAAAGATCCATCGACAGCCTAATGACGGCTTGCCATAAACCTAATGTTAGCTTGCCATAATGCAGCACGCAACCGGCTAAGGCGGTGACTTCCGTTGCAGCGGGCTGTTACTGATTGAGTGCTTTCTATCAATCCGTGCTAGCCGTTAACGTGGGCGGTTGCTTACTTTCTGTCAAAAGGGTGTCACTAATTGTGCCGACAGTTGAAGCACACCGAACACGTCGAAATCACGATTTTGACCATGCCGTTTTCAACACGATCATGTTCCCTCATAGTCATCCGTAAAAATGAGGCGGAGAGTCGGGGAACGGTGTCCTCATAGTCAATCGAAATTTTAACACTGATTAGTCGAAGTTTGAAACTGCGGTTTTTCGCGATCTATGAGGCGGCCTAAGCCTTCGTCAAGAGCACAAAATTTGTTTAACGCCACGAAGAGCGTCATGGCACACTTTTCCAATTCTGCAACTCGAGTACGGTTACCCAGCGGTATCGACGCTCGTGCTCGTGCAAAGATGTGGTTAACAACCACCGCTAGTAATCATTATAATTATGTAAATTTAGGGATCGAGACCTAAGATTTACCTAAAACAGACAACAATACCACTGCCCAAATACGGTAGAATTATACGAACGTGTATTAGTGAATCACATTACCTCCAGAGTAGCTTTGGTCTTGAGATAACATGTGGGAGTAAAGTTAGCCTGAACTCCGTGGTGATTAATTCAGTGCAGTTCGTAAGGATTTGGCTGTGCACTGTGCTTGCATGTTGATCAGCGGATTTTGCAGGCTTAATTTGATGGTTAGTACCGTGCTGGATGCTAATGTTAATCAGAAAAATTTCTTTGCAGACAATGGCTGCAAACGGAGCCAACGGAAACCCCGGTCAGGCGGGCGACCAAGGACCTGAAGAACCCGGCCAGAATCTTGGGCGTGAGTCGTAGGCTGCAGTAAAAGTTTTTTCCTTCATAAGACCGCATTATTATTTCATATACATTATTAAATGAAGTGTAGGGAACTGGAACTAAGCGAAAATACTGTTTTCTAGTGAGCTGTGTGCGTGTGCTGTTTTCGCATGTAGTTTGTTTCAGGTTCAACTGCTTTGACTGCACTTTGCTTTGCTTTACTTCACTTTACTTTGCTTTTTTTTGTTCTATTCTACTTTACTTTAATACGTTTATGCTTAGTTTACAACTAAGGATACATACACCCCACTCACAAGTCTGGTCGACATTCGCAACGAAAATTGCTTGGCGCTACTTCGTAGAGCGAAGCTAACCTAATGAAAACGTTGGCGTAGTGACTGCTAATAAACTATGCGGGAAAAAAACTAAAAACTAATAAACTATGACAGATTAAGAGGTCAGACCGCGGGAAACGGAGGGAGCCTCCATGCCCGTGTGATGATGAACTTTTAGAAGGTCAATGTGGGAGCCAGTCGGTGGTCAAAGGTGTCGGTGGTGTACGCTGCGGCCCCGCCCTGCTGAGAATCTTCCGCGATAGGCGAACGCCTGCCCAGTCAAATTGAGAGCATCTCGCCTAGGAAGAAGGAGAAAGCTTGTGGCGTGTGACTGACATGTTGACCAGATAAGCGTGCGACTGCCAGTGATAGTGAGGGAAAGAATCGGGAAAGAATCTCAGTGAATTGGGAATGAATCTCACTGGAGAACGAGAGTGATGTGATCCTGGCCGAAGTAAGCCGTGGATACGTCCACGCCGCTGCGCTAGTGAAGGGAAGATTTAGGCCACTATGATGGCAGACGGGAAGGCCATGCGGTGAGAGGCGCATGCAGCGCTCTTGCGAGGGATGATGGCGACAGAAGAGTGTACGAGGTCGTGACAAAAACAATAAAAACTTTGTTATGTTAAGAAACTGGAATAAAAATACCATTGTAGATGAAGTTTCCACACTGGAAACGAACTTGTCATGGTCGTCCTTCAGTTTGTCGTTCTGGTGTCCATTATGCGCTATAAATGAAAGAGTACCGGCTGCTTACGGCAATGGCACTAAAGAAAAATAAATCATATGAGAGGGGAAAAATTCGTTCGCTGTTACTGTTTAAGGATCCGCTAAAAATGCGTCGCTGTGTATTTTAAATTTATCTGCAAGCATTTCTCAGACGAAAAAAATGTATGCGTCAGTTTTGAGCTTCAGAGGAAACCGTTCGCGGGCGATATGCCAATCCGTGTGGATGAAAGACTTTAGGCGGAGTTTGGTTTTTGCGGTAGAAATCGCATTTCAGTGCGTCGGTTGCTAGATTAGTTCTAGGACGCGCACATCGCAGCGTTTATGAGAATGAGCCTTTCCTTTATCTCGTACCCTTGCGGTGCCCTTCGAACTAATGGCACATTTACCCAAACCCACCAACTTTCCGGAAAAAGGGGATGAGAAGCGCACGGTCGTACTAAAGCGCTAAAGAACCCGTTTGGCGCAAGCACATTTTTCTGAAATGTCGTAACAGCCGGGAGCCCACCCTACGCTAGTTGTCGCGCCATTATTCAAAAACATTTTCATCGTAGAATGGGACGCGCGGTAGCGCCGGCCCACCCCCTCCCCCTCAAAGGTGGCTCGGTAGCTGTATATGATCAACTAAATAATTTTCCGTATGTATCTGAGGATGTTCTGCTAGGTAGTTATTTATTTTCAACGCTGCATAATTATTTTTTTTCACCCACATTTATGTATTATGAGGTTTCGTTTGTTTCCATTTAATTTCTCGGACAATAGCACCGTTACTTCGCTTAAGTTTTCCATTCTGCGGCTAGATATGCTTGTCACAGCCTAATTATCTTCTGTTTCTTTAATTTATACTATCACACAAAATCAATTTTTACGATCGCTCATATGCTTTACTTTGGATAGTTCTAATGGATACTGATCTGGCCTACGCGTAATTCATCTTGGTAATTTGCGCACCGAGAGCGACTACTACATTTCCTGCGCTGAGCGAGGGGAAAATACTGTTGCCGGCATCCACTTTGACACATTTTCCAGTCTCGTCGTAAGCTTATCTGCTTACTGCATCCCTCTGCCTATATCCACTTGCTGGACCGTTCATCATCGTTTAACTTGGCCTGCCTTTGAGTGCAACATTGTAATAATAAAAATTACGATGTCCCAAAAATGCCGATACGGTAAAGTTGAAGTATTGAAATAATTAATTCAACTACGAATTTTACCAAGCTGCATACATCAAAGAATTTTTTTGACTGTTTAATGGATTTAATTTCTTTGCCGGAAGCGAGCTGATGCTTCACAAGTTAGACTAGCTTACACCCGCTTTAATTTTTTATTGAAAATTGGAATTCGGATTATGAGAATTATTAGTATTTATGAAAATCAGAATTGCTTAAACTAACTACTCGAGTAGTTTTCAGACTTCTCTCAAAGGTGACGAGGAAATTGGTGGACATTGTTTAGTATCAAGATAACAAAATTATTTACTTACTCAAATAGAAAATGCACATTGAAATTAGAAAAAATCGCTACAGTAATATTATTTTGCTGTCGGGTCGAGAACATTGTTCTTGATTGCTAACTAGTGACTACCAATGAGATCATTGTAAAGCTGATTGACATGTGGTAGATGCTTTCATGCCACTTACCTATACTGGTATTAGTAACTGGCGTACTCGTAATACATGTAATTACTGTACTATTGGTAATATTTTTCCAGATATGCTTGTTTATTCAAGTAAGCAGTAATAACTGTTCAAAACATAAAACTCTCAACTCTAGTTAAGCTGTAGTTCGGTGCTGTAGTTCAAATTTATAAAAATGTTTGTATGAAAATTTAAAACTTATTGCATTTGAAATCGGTTTGTGACATACATTTATCCGTACCCGATCGTTGGCACTGGCAGCTCTTGTGGACTTGAAATTAGTTTTCACAGAAACGCGACATTTTTATGTGAAATGTCAGAGAAATATTTAGAAATATTTAGAAATATTTAGAAATATTTAGAAATATTTAGAAATATTTAGAAATATTTAGAAATATTTAGAAATATTTAGAAATATTTAGAAATATTTAGAAATATTTAGAAATATTTAGAAATATTTAGAAATATTTAGAAATATTTAGAAATATTTAGAAATATTTAGAAATATTTAGAAATATTTAGAAATATTTAGAAATATTTAGAAATATTTAGAAATATTTAGAAATATTTGGAATCATTCAAAGCTGATAACAGATTTTGATTTTAGCCGACCCACAGGCACCCGTCCCGTTCTTCCTGTACCAGCAGGCAAACGACGCCTTGGCGGAGCTGCAGGCCCAGCATCAGCAGCTGCAGAATCAGCACCATCAGCTGCAGACCCATAATCAGCAAACGCAGGCCGAGAATCAGCATTTGCGGACCGAAAATCAGCAGCTCATGGCCGAGAATCAGGAGTTGCGGGATGATATCGCGGTGCTTCGGCAAGTCAACGAGGATCAGAAGGAAGAGATCCACGAACTCCAGAAGGAGGTCGCCAAACTGGAGACGACCGTCGCCAACCTGGAGGCTTCCAACGCCAAACTGGAGACGACCGTCGCCAACCTGGAGGCTTCCAACGCCAAACTGGAGACGACCGTCGCCAACCTGGAGGCTTCCAACGCCAAACTGGAGGCTACTGTCGCCAAGCTAGAGACTTCCAACGCCAATCTGGAGCGGGATTTGGCCAACCTGCGAGCTGCAACAACGACAGAATTGGTTAGTATACTGGCTAATACTTTATTAAAGTACGAGTACAGTGAAACCTGCGCGCATTGGACACCTCCGGTTCCTAAAATATCGTTCAATCTAGACGCTTTTTCAATATACAGAACAATTTTTACAGTATATGAGACGCGCCGGTTCCAGTACAAGCGTTTAGTGTGCGCGGGTGTTCAGTTTACGCCAGCGTTCAAAGACACAGGTTCACTGTATCACTTTTTTCTACTTTTGTAGAACAACAACTAAATGAGAAGTACGGGTACATTGTCTAAAGGCAAAGCAACAGCAAGCAGTTGCTCATGCTGTTGCTGAGTCGTCACTTGTATCGCGATTCGTGACTGCTACATTATACCGAAAATCTCGTGAGGAGCAAATATACCACCCTGTACTTCAGTTTTTCCAAAATTGCGGTCAATTTGCGTTTGCGTTTTATAAATTTGTCAACAGATGCCTCCAGTGTGCCGCGATTTTGGGTTAACCGGTAATCGCGCGCTCTGTTGCATTACTCTCGAGTTTTCTGTTGTTTTTTTAAGAAAACCTATCGAAGATCTGTGTAGTTTATCAGTGGAACTTCAGAAGCTTTTTTTGTACTGCAGATATGGTTTTTGGAAAATTTCGTTGTGTTTAGGAATGAATACGTGCGTTACCAGTTGACGAAAACGTGCACGCAAAGCGAACGAAATATGAGAAGAACCGAAGTACAGATAGTTCAAAGTTTCTGAACAACTACTCACTCATACTTTTCGATTCAGACAGTTGGCTACCTCAACCTGTACGGCTGTACCGTATTGCCGAAGGCAGCTGCACATCGTGGATGATGGTAGTGCCGCTACGTAATATATATCCGGTTTCGTAGTTAATTTCGAGAGTGAGATAAAAAAATAAGTTAAGGAGTGAGATTAAGAGCACATGCAGATCACGTGATAAAGCCGCTTTATACACTGCTAGCTTTTTTTTAATGCTATAATTATGATACTGACTGGGATAATCTGGTTTAAATTCCTGTTGTTCAGCCCGGTGTGAAATCCCATGCTAGACTGTCAACCTAGCCGGAAATGGCCTATCTGCTCTAATTGCACGTAGAGCAAATTGAATTTTAATTGAATTTCAAATTTAAGTGACCGGTTGTGAGAAATTTCGAAGTGGCATTGTTTCTCTCTTAGCGTGTTCGCAGTGGCATTACATAGTATCCAGTAACGATCACTTAACTCCACCTTAGTAGTACAGAGAATGATTGTAATGGGGACATGTTTGCTTGTGTGATAAGTGATCTTTGTGGCTGATGTGGCAGGACTATACATGCAGCACAGTGACGACGGGATTTTGCAGGTGATCCGTAATCCCCGTCCAGCGGCGGGTCAGTATGTGCCGCGGCTAGCCGCCTTCATCCATGACGGGCCGTCTCCGGAGGTTCTGTTGGGGCTGCTTATGTTCTGTGTCTGGCTGTGGCGCAGAAGTTGAAGTGGGATTTGTTTCGGTGATGTCGTGGTGGTGTGATAACAAAACTCGTGCAGTTGCATTGTTGTGGGTTCTGGTACATTTAGTTAGTACATTTACCTAGTTTGGCTCGGTATTCCGCTAATACTCCGTGGAAGTAAGCGAGAGTTTATGTGTGCTGCGCACGGTCTCGATGGCGTATTTCCACTCTACCGGCTGCGTATGGTTGGTCATCGAGCGCGTTGTCGCTATCATCGAGAGCGCCTCTACACAGCAGATTACTGTAGTTTGTAGGACACGCATGACTGTCGATAAAATTTTTTTAATTGATCCAAAATACTGCAGTTCATAAAGCCTGAAAAACTTAAAAATTTGTGTGTTTTCTAAAGAAAGCCTTTCCTTTCAGTCTCTTAATTTTTCAAAAGCTTCCGTGCGTAAAGTGATATCAAGTTCTCGGCTTAGAGTTTTCGGGAAACATAAAATTAGTTGAATTTCTCTGAGACAAGGAAAGAGATTTCACAGAAATGCAGGTTACTTCGAAGATAAATTTAGTTTTACAACAACCGCCCAATCAAAAACTGCCATCGCGACATCAAGTGACCGTGTACTGTACTCACCACTTGCTGAGATGTCAGTGTAATCGTCGAGCTGCAGGTGGAGCATCGTCTCGTGCACGACGGTGCACAATGCATTGCTCAGTGCACGTTTGTGACCGGCAAAAATGTTCCCCCAATCGTGGTCGAAATTGTAGTTCCAACGAAATGTTCCGTAAACAGTAAATACTAAAATTAATAGTTTGTCGTTCAGGAAAACGTCGTCAGCAAGTTGTTGGTTAGCAAAATGGCAGTGAACAAATTGTCGGTGTGCCGCTCACATTAGGCAATGTACATGAGCCGCAGCGATTCTCGGAGCTGCAGGAAACATAAAACAAATACCAGAAAGTGTAGAATAAATGGATACGCTGTACTTGGTTGTTGGGCGGACAAGCATTCAGAAAGAGACACAAATAAAACGAGAATATTTGAAAACTTAAATATTATCTACCAACGCAGCGCGACCTATTCAGTTAGCGTCCTGTCAACGCGGCAAGTTTGCTGACAGTGATATCCACTTCACACAGAGTATATATACACCGTCCAATCCCAGTGGCGATAGCGAGCGGACGGCGGATCGGCGCTCTGGTATAACAGTAGAGTTTCTTTTGCGAGAGTAAGCGGCCACTGGTTTCTGAATCAAGTAACGAATCAAACCGACTGACCAGCACCATCGTGTCTAACTGAGCGTGACGCTGTTGCGCAGTGCAGTTAGCAATCCATTCTACGAGTGCCGGCCGATTCAGCCGCTTCTTCACCACCATATGGCCAGCGCAGAGATCCCACGACTGTAACTGTAGTCCCTCGAACGGCGAGGCATTCTAAATGCATCGTGCGATATAACGGACCTCACGCTGCCTTCTTGGAGCGCAGAACGCACTGCGTCCACACCCTCTCGGGCACAGTAACGAACACTCCACCGCTACGCGAGCCACATTGCCAATGAGGTCCTCAAACGAGCGAGATCCACGAGCGAGCGAACGTCTCGCTGAAATTGTGCCGATCGAACACCGGAAGCGGCATGCGACTGCTCAGTCTGAGGTGCTGCATAAGGAGGAACGAGTCGTCGAATTTGCACAAGCTGACATTAGTCAGCACCAGTATCTTGGTGCGGCATTTCAGCAAGCAGCTGGCCATTCCACACAGCGCCGGCAGCTGTACGTCGCTGTACTCCTTTAAACTGCCGGACAAGCGGATATCTGGAAGTATGCTGCGGTGGTGAGAATGCTGGCACGACGAAGAAATTTAATCGCAATAAAATGACGGGCAACTTATGTTTTCTATTACAATTTAGTCGACCGGAGCGCAGCGAAGGTCCTCTAATTCAGCAAAACTAAAAAAATTCTGTGTGTCACGCTGTCTGTCTGTCCCGGAATTGGAACATAACTTCCTTATTATGCCATAGTTTATTTATCCCGTTGCTTCATAACACGTCAAAACTTTGCTTCAAACCACGCTGTCATTGAGACGATTGCTTTTGAAGAAGGGAAGAGGTTGAAAAAGGTAAACAAATCGGTAAAGGTCATGGAAGCAGGAAATACAGGGACGTCGAAGAGTGGTTACAGGAAACCAGGAAACCAGTGCAAGCTGAAAACAGGAAAAGGACAGGCTATAACCCGCAGTTTTCCGGCAGCAACAGCCGGAAAAATTTGAGCTCTTCGCGCAAAATGCGCGGATCAGATCACCGACACAAGAATCGATGCAAAATTTTTAAGTTAACACTTTCAAAAGCGAAGTGTGAAAATTTATTCAACTTCTTTAAAAATAGTCTTTCTCAAATGAGAATGCAAACGTTAACAAGTTAACGTTAACCAATGTAGATTCAAGTTCGAGATTGCAAACGTTAACATTAACAAAGTTGTTTTTTTTTGCCGTTTACTGATCTTTTAATAAACGAAACCAGTCTTACTTTTAATAAGCATCACACACAAGTACATACTCAGTACTAAAACAAAATTCATAACAGAAACACTACTTTATTAGATCTTTAAAACACTGTTTTTATTAGATCCTACTGGCACTGGAAGAATGTCTTTTCACTGTAGCTACACAGGTGACAGGCATAATAAGTACTGTAATAATAAAACATCTTTATTGGCAATAGCCACCCAAATAACAAAAGATGCATGCGCTGACACCCTACTTAATCGTTAGAATTTAAACATTAAAAAAACAACCAAATTCCCGGTCCTCCCTCGGGTTAAAAGGTAACGTACTCAAAACAGCCGTAGCATTTCCTTTGACAACAGCAAGGCTGAATCGCTGCTTAAGAAAAGCGGTAGAACGCGCTTCTCCTGTCAAATCCCGAATTTTTCTACCCATAAAATGTAAAAATTCACTTAAAGCCGGACCAAATACTCCAAGGGTTTCCATTACTAAAGGGGTAGAAAAGGTATCCGTATTCCAAAACGAATACTTTCCACGCTTCGCATTTTCAGCCAGTTGGGCTACGCTGCCACATTTCTTGGAGCTTCCAGTGACATGAGAGTCAGCAACCGTACACCAGCTGGTTACATCCCAAACGATCGGTTTTCCTTGTCTAACTGGTATCAGTGTCATCCCGTCCGGTCTTTTTGCGGTGGTTGATGACAAGCCGTTCGGCTCCACCTCACAAGGAAAACCAGCGCTTTCACAACAGTTTTTCGCGATGCTGTTCATTTCTTTATGTCTCGCCCATCGTCCTTTAGTCGTTTTGTTGCAGGATAGTCCATGATGACCGTTGTTTTCGACTTGTTTACCAGTTGGGCTACGCTGCCACATTTCTTGGAGCTGTAATAATTAGATTAAATTTTCATAAGTAACTGTTTAACCGAGCTCGTCAGTATCACAGCTGAACTGTCATGACACTAGTTGCCATGGTAGGAAGGACAACCTAGGACATCACAAAGTAGTACAGATTCAAGTGTATTCACAAAGTACTGCATACTCGACCAAAAAAACGTCCTTCTGTCATGAACAAAAATTCGTCACTTCGTGGCATTTTGTTATTTGCTGCAAAAGAAAACGCCTTCGAAAAATCCACGATGTCATGGATTGGAATGAGGATCCTACCAATGAGGCTGGTAAATGTGTTTGATGCAATCACTGGTAGCGGAAAAAAATAGTAGCACTGATCAGGAGTGTGGTTCTGTTAACTGTTGAGTAATCTGTATTGCCTGTTTTTGCAGTTGATAAAATCCACATATCTCTTATGATGTTCCTTTTTTGGTAAGTATTAATTGCATGTCATTCTGACCAGATTTTTGTGAGTGCCTCGAGAGTATGTCCGCTCAAGAATAAACCAAACTAAACTGTACACGTATTTGCTTCGCTAGACCGCTTTCCGTGGTGGCAGCTCCGCCCACCCACCGAGGCACGGCTTCGTTAACAAATGTTGGTTTCACTAGCATTCGATTTTCGAATCATTTTTCTCAAGATCCACTCGAATTTTGGAACATATTTTGTAGAGCTGATCCTAGAACTGTATTAGTCGCCGGATTCTTGAATAGTGGACAGCCAAGGCGAATTTAATTTTCTATCACATAACTGAACTGCCATCGGTGAATATAAATTCGTTTCCATCGAGAAACGCGACGAACCATAGTCTGTTTTAATTCACGACCTCCTCAGGGCACCATTCTGATTTACGGCGACGCAACGCACCAAGTATGCGGATGGAACGCGGTGGACGTTCTCGTCGACGGAGTACTCCAGCACGGCCGCGTCATAAAGATCGTGGAGAGCGGCCTGATCGTGGATTTCGAGTGTAGCACACAGTGCGCGCAGTTCGTCGAATTCGGCAACATCTTCCACACCGAGCATTTCTACAACAACGCCTACAACCCGTGTGACGCGGTGCAGGTGCTTCTGCGCCCCCATCCCACCGCGCCCTGGACGTGGTACCCGGGGAAGGCGGTGGCCCTGGGAGAGTACGACCCCCAGGGGCGGGGCCGCGATGCGCAGTACGTGGAAGTGCAGCTGCCGTACGGCGCCGTCATGCAGCTGGTCCCCCGTTTCCAGGTCCGCCGACCGCCCTCGGAGGACGATTGTGAGGGCGCGCGGGTGGAGGGGTGGGCGTTTGTCACCCGATGCTGTCAGCTGCCGGCCGACTGGGATAAAGTTCTGCCCGCGGTGCGGGAGCGCTTCCAGTTCTCACTGAATCAGCATCGTCTACTGTGCACCGTCGTACACGGCCAGACACTACTCTATCTGCAGCGCGAAGCTGGCACTCCGCCGACACCTCAGCAAGTGGTAAGGACATGTCATTTGATGTCGCAGATTTCGATTGGCTGTTTGTTGTTACGGAGTCAGTCTGTTGATGAATTAATTAATTCTTTAAAATATTAACTATACTGTGTTTATATACATACTTACTACGTATTAAAAAAACTGGTATTTAGTACTAGTTATTCCCAATATTTTGCCCGCAGAGTCGCTGCAAGAGGCACCACTCCTAACGCATTTTGAGCAACTTTCGTCAGAGTACCCTGTACTCCTGTGGAAATTACTTTCCTGAGTTTCCGGTCTAACAAAATTCCGGAAACCAATTCGTTTCCGGTCTAGATTGCTGAAGCAATCTCTGCCCTGACTTCGATCAGAACGAGCTTGCCGTCTTACAGCTGCGGAAAAACGAGGATCACTGAAATGATTCTCCCCCCCAGCTGGTGAGCACAGTTTCTGTCTCTTCCACACTGAAGAGCACACTCCCAAACGCACGGACTTTCTTCTCCCAACTGACGGATCAGACTCGAACGAGAGTCTGCAGCGCGCACGGATTACTCCATAATACGGGGACCATCGGTTTGAACACCGACCCGCAACTTTACCCGCGGATTTCAGTTCGGAAACGACGGATTTCCGACCTCGGACGGAGGAAATCGAGCGGAACCGACACCGACACCGACACTGGTAAAGTAACGGTTCTAGGTCGATTTTAGCCGCAACTAGGTCGGCTTTTCACTTTCTAACGGTAGAAAACAATTTCTATCCGTAAATTTAAATTTTTGAACGGTGAAAAAGTAATTTTCGACGGAGAAACCGACTCGGAATTTTGCTTTTGGTCGAGAACCGACCTGCTAGGTCAACGAACCTGTCTAGACAGTTAGACAAAGGCTAACCGGCAACAGGTCGGAAATTCTCTTTATTTTGATTTCTTACCGTGTTTCGACCACCAGAAAAATTTCTTAATTAATAAAATTAATTTCTAACGGTTAAAACCTAAATATCCGACCAGATAAACTTTCTGGCCGACCAAAAATAACTTGTCTTTCTCGAGGAAATTAGCGCTAAAATTCTCGTACTTCCTTGTGACGTCAGAACGACCGCTTATCAGTACTTAAGGGCATACAATCAGCGTGCAAGGGAAACTTCTCATAGCCTAACACAGGGTGAATCATCAGTTTTTTTTTGTAACTTTTGCACGCGGCCCGCATTCTGTGACGTAGGCAGAAGTGCAAAACCACTTAACCTGTTACGTCATACTGGTCAGCACAGTAGTATAGGACGTACTACACCGTGCTACTATTACGTACTTTACTGTACCATTGTACTGTATATTAACACCCTGTGTTCTGAGTCACCAACAGACACATCAACAACAACAACAACATCTCACCGGACGTTCCTGACACTCGGAAGTTCCTGAACCAAAAGAGGTTCCTGATTTTACCGAACATCTTCACACAGAACATTGTTTGATTTTCTCTTCTTAACTAATAAAACTTTTAACGCTCCATCAGAGCCGACCTGATCTGACCACAATGTCGAATCCAAGGGAGAATATGCCAGGAAGTTCAACACGGACTATTCTCGGCGTGCGAACACGACCGGAAAGTACTCACTCCGGTACGACGGTCAGGAAAAGAGTCAGCCGTCCTCAACCGACTCGGCTAAGTCGGCTGAGGCAAGGGAGAAGCGTAACGAACGGATCCTCCTTGCCGACTCGAATCCGACCTCGGGTGACAGTTTCGAGGACGCCAGGGATAAAACAGTCCTGGAAACCCCAGCTGACGTAGCAGCCCCGTCCCACCCGACCGGGGGGGGGTGTGGAACAGCTGCAGGCAGAGACCACATTTTCTCATGCCGACCAACAGCCGCGCTCACACAGAGCTCAAGCCTCGGTAACGGCTACAAAAGCCACCGAGCTCGGACGGCAATCACCCAACGGAACGGAAGAAGCGCCGAAGCCGACCTCGTCCAACATGGACATGGCGCCTAACCAAGTCGAACGAAAATCGCCGACCACACAGATCGAGCGAAAATCTCCGACTAAGGAAGTAGGTGAACAACAACCGACTAGGGAAGTCGACCAACAAGTGGCCGACCAACCTTCGGCAAAGGAAGTCGACCAACAGAAGGTCGACCTATGACAACAGCTGACAACAGAAGTCGGCAAAGTCCAACCGACCACACAGGTCGGAAGGATTTCGCCAACCTCAAAGGTCGGTCAACAGATGCCGACCACAGAGGGTGGAGAGAGGGAAATCGGCAACAACCAACCGACTTGCCCGGAACGACAACCAACCGACAACAAGTCGGATGCTGCCGCACTAAGCGGGTGGCACTAAGCGGGATGCTGCCGTACTGACGGATGTAGTCTTATTTGAAGCCGATGACTTGCTTCCGCTCGTGCAGCACATCCTCCCAGCCAGCCGAATACCCCTGCTGGTGTTTAATAGGTGTTTAACGGGTTACCTGCACCGTGATAAAAACCATAAAACTATTCTGCAACCAAAATATTAATTTACGTTCTATTCTCAAAACCGTCCAAGCGCGCAACATTCGCTTGCTGAAAATACTAAAATGGAATGAACAAAAGAAATTAGACGATCAGTCATGTCACGCAAATTAAATTTTGGTTTTTCTTTTTGTAATTTTGTTCCTGGTGAGAAGCATGCACAGAGAAAAATTCTGAATAAAAACCTGTTCATCGTATTTTCCCAAACCTTTTACAGAAAGTTTTTTTTTAATTTTGATTGTGCCAGTAGCGAAGAAAATGTTATGGAGCTGGTTTTTAAACAGAATATTTTATTCTTTAATTCCCATTACCTTGAACCGGATGCTGCGCAAACAAATAGTTATTCGGGCGAATTGTGACATTCAGATCATGTAGTTGATACATCCTGACTGTTGCGTCGTGCGCGAAAGGGATAAAAAAATTATTCTTTTACCGAAAACGCATTTTCTACAACGCAAACTCATATTGTTACAGTAATAAAATTTTCTGAGGTATTAATATCTGTAACTTTCCAGAAAAAATCTACCTATGGACTGCATGGTACCATTCGTGAGCACTTTTGCCGTCAAAAACGCTCACAAGCATTTTCGCCCGTCAGATATGCTCACAGCGTGAACCGTGAACATGTTAACTTTCTTGCCGGCTACACACGGTCACATTACCATCGCATCCTACCTCCAAAATTTGGGTGGGATGGCAACCCTATTACCTATTTCCACGCTCACCAGTCGACCACCACAGCTCTTTACAGCCCATCGCTAAGGATCGATACTACAAGTACAGATATTATTGATTTTCCCAGCCAGGGCAAGGACAGCTGCAGCTGCCGCCTGCGCAGTTCTGCCGTGCATTGACATACTTCTATAGAGGGCAATGCTAAGAGTGTGCCGCATTCACTCTTGTACGAGTAAATAGATTAATTTTACGATGGAATAATGCTCGATTTCTTACTTATTTGATGTAACTGCACCCAGTGCATTTTATATTACGCAGTCATGTTTTGATACTAGTCTGGAGTGGCGCTACGTATACCGTCCCGCAGACGTCCAGGATGACCTTGCCTTATTGTGACTTATTGTGGATTTAGTTCCCCCACACGGCTTCCTCGTTAACTTTGATTATCTTGGACAACACACTGACTGCAAAAATTTTGACAAATTCTTCAAGAATATCGCTTATTATTCCGCCGTTTCTTAATCCAGTTGGGTACCTTGCTTCCCCGAGTACGACGGCTACATTTCATGCGATAAGCGAAAGGAAAATACTACTGTTATCAGCATCTACTCTGTACTTCGACACATTTTTCAGTTCCATCGCCGGCGTAATTTTTCCATTCCATCTTACGTACAACCACTGGCTGAACCGACCATAATCTCTTGGTTTGGCCTGACTAAGGAGTGCAGCATTGTAATAAGAATTAATAACGATGTCGCAAAAATGCCGATACGGTAAGGTGGCAATCTTGGAATTATTCATTCGACATTCTGTTAGGAACTTTAGCAAACTGCCTCCAACTAACGCGGCGGTCGGCAATGCGCATTTAGAACTAGAATTGTACAAAATGGAAACTTTTTTTATCCTTTAGCGATTGAGACGTTGGGAGTATTTGGCCCCGCTTTCAGTGAACTGTTACATTTCATGGGCCGTAAAATTCGAGACTTAACTGGAGAAGCGCGTTATACTGCTTTCATTAAGCAGCGTTTCAGTCTCGCCGTTGTAAAAGGAAATGCTACGGCTGTTTTGAGCACGTTACCTTTTAACCCAAGAGAAGATAGAGATTTTGGTTGTTTTTTTAATGTTTAAATTTTAACTTTCACGTAGTGTACCGGCGTTTGCAATCATTATTATCTTGGCGGCTATTGCCCAATAAATTCTATTGAATTGTGCAATATTAGTGGTTTCTAATTTTTCCTGACGCTGGCAGTGAAACTGGAGAACATCTTTCGACCTCTTTAAAATTTGCGCGATGTGTACTAGATAGATGGTTTAATAAAGCACCTGACGTCTCTTCAGCGAGATATCTTTAACCCGGCAACAGCCAGTTCACATGACAAAAAATGTCGCGCTGGTAGAAACTGGTTAAAATGATTTATATAAATCGGCTTTATAAATCGCAAGTGCTTGTTGGTGTCATGATCTGGTGTATTGGAACTAATCCGTAGTTGTGTAAACCTGATAGCTGATTCTGATTTTAGCCATTGCACAGGAGCACGTGTCGGTCTCTCTGCTTCAAGAGCTCATGGACAACATGGCGCGGCTGCGGGTCCAGCAGAATCAGCTGCAGGCTGAGCAGTATCAGCTGCATAAACAGAACCAGCAGCTGCACAAGCAGAACCAGCAGCTGCTGGAAGAGACCAAGGTTCTTTTGCAAAACAACAAGGAACTGCGGAAAGACATCGACGAGCTCCGGACAAGCAGCGTCAAACGAAAAGCGACCATCGGGACACTGAAGACCACCGTCGGCACGCTGAAGACCAAAGTCGGCACCTTGGAGACCACCGTCAGCAAGTTGGAGACCACCGTCGGCAAGCTGGAGACCACCGTCGGCAAGTTGGAGACCACCGTCGCCAATTTGACGGCTACAGTGGCGACCCTGCAGCAGGATATGGCCAACCTGCGAGCTGCAACGTCCACCCAGTTGGTTAGTACAGATCTTCGTTCCAAAACTACATTTCGATTTTTCTTATAATATGGCGGTCACTCTGCGTATAGGACAATAAACTGATCACCGGTCGCGCACGCTCTTGCATCTGCTCTGGAGGTTTCTAATTTCGGTTGAATTTTTCTGAAAACCTATGGATGATCTCAGGCCCGTAGCGAGACCCCTCGCCCATTTTCGCAAATGTACTTCTCCCACAATTTTTATTGGAAAATTTTTCTGAATACACCATTAAACTCGCCGTGAAATTCTGAACAAAACGGTTGTGGCCGATTTTCGAAATTCGCTATCCCCCCAAGTCGAAATCATCGGGCGGTCGCTGTTACGACAGCGTCCCTTTTGGGGAATTCCCTTGCGCGTTTTCAAAATTGTACTACTTTCACAATTTTCATCTCATAATTTTTCTGAATCTACCATTGAAATCGCCGTAAAATTCTGAAAAAATGGTTGAAAGGGATTCTTGAATTTCGTTCATCGGAGAATTCGTTTTCCCGGGCGGTCGCCAATACAACAACGCAGTTCTTGGGGCATTCCCCCTGGCCAAGGGGAATAGCCCCAAGGCTAGGGTGTCGGATTGGCTACCGTCCGTGGATGTCGATTTTTGGGGGTAAACGAATTTCAAAAATCGGCCTCAACCGTTTTGTTCAGAATTTCACGGCGAGTTCAACGGTGTATTCAGAAAAAGTATCCGATGAAAATTGTGGGAGGGTACATTTTTGAAAATGGGCGAGGGGTCTCCCTACGGGCCTGGATGATCTGTATAGTTACATGGGATTTTTATAAGGAATGTTTTCTGTACTAACACAAGAGAGGATTGCTGAAAATTTCGTTGTGAGGAGGAATACATGCGTGTCCAATCCGGAAGACGTTTTACGCAGCGACCGAAATACGAGACAAATCGAAGTAGAGATATCGACTTCCTCTTGGCTTGTTCGCGTTAGCACGAAGTGCTACTGAATCATACACTGTAGTATGCAGCAATGGAGCCTCTGAATTCAGTTGTACGCGTATGGGGAAATTATATTAGCGTTTAAATAGCGACTGGTACTTGCTCGTGTGATAATCTCCTTCTGGCATGGCTAACCGCGCGGCACAATGACGATGGCATTTTGCAGGTGGGCAGGAGTGTCCCGTGTGCGGTGCATCACCATGTGCCCCGACTACTCGCTGTCATCAGTGACGGGCCGTCGACGGAGTTTATGCTGGGCATTTTGTTTTTCTGTGTGTGGCTTTGGCGACTAAGTTAAAGTGTGCTTTGTAGTATTGAATGGACCTGGAGCATTTGCAGGGTGTTGGTTTCCGCAAATTTAAATAAGATTAGCGATAAAGTCACAGCCCGCGGATTAAACGCAGAGTTGACGTGCAATACTCACGGTGCCGAGGGCGTACCGGGTATAATGTATATCCATTTTTCACTCTACCGACTGTGCATGACGGCCATCGAATGCGTTGTCACCGTCCGGTTTCCATGCAGCCGGTCAGTTTCTAGGACGCACATGACTGCGCGTACAATTTTTTCCATTACTCCGAAATAATTGAATTTATAACGCGTGAATTCTTAACGCGGCTGCAAAACTGAACAATTTGTGGCATCAAAAAATATCTTTCCATTCAGTCTCCTATTTTTTTAAAAAAAACAATTTTGCAATCACCTTTCACAGTACAGTCTGTATTAGCAAATACACAAATTCTGTACTCTGAAAATTTCAACATACTTCACATTTGCGTGCTCGACGAAACTACTGAAGTGGAAACGAGGCATTAGACTGATCACATCTGCGTTTTTTAGTTGTTCACCGAAAATTCCAGGTAATGGAAAGAGAAAGAAAAAAAATTTCTTTATCGATAGCTTGCAGGTAATCGATGCGGTGCACACATGTATCGATAGCTTGCAGGTAATCGATGCGGTGCACACATGTAATCGGTATCGATCCACTTCCAAATATTAATATATGTACACATATTTACTGTATTTATACACGTGCACGGAGCGAGCGCGGCATTGCATCACAAAATACTGCATAGCGGCCATAGCCCCCCAAAAATACGAGTAACCTGCTCTTTACCATGAATAAAAAGCGTAGTTATTAAATTTTGTAATTTGCTCCAAGAAAAGGTAATTACACACAGCGAAGTAGCTAAATGAAGTGACCGTTATTATTAAAGATTAATGGATGTCTCTTTCGATCCGCAATGAGAATATACCGACTGCGAAGTGGCGAACAAAGATCAGCAGTAAGGCTGACAAAAAGGTAATTCAAAACGAGAAAACATCAACAACAGACAAAGTTAATGAGAAGAGAACCAATCCGGAACAGTCTGTCTATTTCGCTGCCGGAGGGTTCATTACTTTGTCCAATGCAGCTACTGTCAGGACGGTCAGCTGGCTGATATCCACTGCACGCAGAGCGGACCGCGTCCATTTCTGCGGACGGGAATTTGCAGGCGACCGCGGATCGCGGCTGTGATAAGAGTCGAGCACCTACGAGAATGCCCGCCAAATGAAAACTTATCTGATGAAATGGTGGCGTACGAATTTGTGTTTTATGTGCCAATAGCCTGTTGACAACCACAAGAACGCGACGCAATTTTTGTATTTTAGGAAAGCTGTGGATGCGCAACGCAAAATTAGCGCCTTACCCGCTCAATCTCGTATAATCGGTCCTGGCGCCGTTGAGCCACGCAGTCGACGAACCACTGGGAAATCGCCGGCCGATTCAGCGGCTTCGTGAGAACCAGATTGCTCTCGAACAGATCCCACAGCTGCCGTTCCATCTGCTCGGATGACAGTTGGCGAAAGGTGTACTGCGTTACTACTGCCTTCAGTTTGCCATCCTCTAGGGTACAGTTCTTCCATATCAATCTCTCACCAAGTGCAAAACAGGCTGCCACCAAACGGGACATGTGCAGCCCGTGATCGAACTTGCACTTAAACAGCACCAGCACCGGTACGCGCTGATTCCCGCGAATGTACGGGATCAGTTTGACGAGATCATCCGACGCATGAGTTTCCTCCACATCGGTCAGAACCAGCATCGTGGTGCGGCTGTTGAGACATGTCAGCAGACCGGCCAAAACCCAGTAGATGTGCTGCTGCGGATACAGCACGTCTCCGTAGTCATTGCCCATCCCGGAGACGCGCACCACGGGGAAGTGGGCGTCGGTGGTGAGAAGAAGGTTCCACAGGGGATGCACACGCTGGCAGCGGATGCGCTCAATCGAGTCCAGGGTCTGGAAGATCTCCAGCAGTATTTCCGGGGGAAGGGACAGGCTCGGCTCGGTCTCGGCTTCGTCGTTGTACAGACAAGAAATCCGGCGTTTTAGTCGCGGTGCACTGGTCCGCCAAAATTTCCGCTTCGTCCTCGGTGACACGGACGTGCCGCTATCCGGCTTCGGATTCTTCGCTAGTTCAAAGGCTTCTTCCTGCAAAATAAACGTAATGAAATACCAATAATAAACTAGATGCAAATAATAAAACCTTTATCCAGTTCTGATTCCATTCGTTTCCTTTGTGATTTCGTCACATAAAGTTTTTTTCTATTTAAAAAAGTTCAGAAACAAGTACAATAAACTAGCTATTTCAAGCTGTAAATGCAAACATAAACTGTTTTAGACAGAAAAGAGATTTTCACAGTAATAACAGACTACTCTTTATGCTGAAGGAAATCGCTCATGTGCGTCAGTTGTGAGCCTGGAAGCGGCTGTGCGGGCAAAACATTGTAGAACTTTGGAGTAGCTAACAATTATCAATTTACCAGTAAGTATTTATTGATACGCGATAATTGAAAAATTTATATTGGGTCATTCACATTATGATTGGTTAAACTCGAAATTTTGGGGTTCTCATCATTCCAGCACATAATACATTTCATCCAGTCTCTTATCGATGCAAAACGATTCCTGAACACAAGCAGCGTTACCTCGCATAAAAGCTACACTGATTCCCTGCTTCAGAAACTGAGTGGTCCTTTTCTCTTATGTTCTCTCAAAAAGCACGTTACCCAGTGTAGACATCATCAATAATTATGCGTACACTGTACAGTATAAACTGTATACCTAGTTATTATTTTTTTAATAATAAATCAATTACGACAGCAACAGACCGAGCAAGTACTGTAATAAAAAAAGCCAATCAAAAGATGCCATCGCGACGTGAACCGTAACGGTCTTACCACTTTCTGAGCTGTGATTGGGGTGCCAGCTTCGCGCTGCAGATAGAGTAGTGTCTGGCCGTGTACGACGGTGCACAGTAGACGATGCTGATTCAGTGAGAACTGGAAGCGCTCCCGCACCGCGGGCAGAACTTTATCCCAGTCGGCCGGCAGCTGACAGCATCGGGTGACAAACGCCCACCCCTCCACCCGCGCGCCCTCACAATCGTCCTCCGAGGGCGGTCGGCGGACCTGGAAACGGGGGACCAGCTGCATGACGGCGCCGTACGGCAGCTGCACTTCCACGTACTGCGCATCGCGGCCCCGCCCCTGGGGGTCGTACTCTCCCAGGGCCACCGCCTTCCCCGGGTACCACGTCCAGGGCGCGGTGGGATGGGGGCGCAAAAGCACCTGCACCGCGTCACCCGGGTTGTAGGCGTTGTTGTAGAAATGCTCGGTGTGGAAGATGTTGCCGAATTCGACGTGCTGCGCGCACTGGGTGGTACACTCGAAATCCACGATAAGGCCGCTCTCCACGGTGTTGATGGCACGGCCGTGCTGGAGCAATCCGTCGACGAGGACGTCCACCGCGTTCCATCCGCATACTTGGTGCGCTACGTCGCCGTAAATCAGCATGGTGCACTGAGGAGGTCGTGAATTAAAACAGACTATGGTTCGTCGCGTTTCTCGATGGAAACGAATTTATATGCTATCGCAGTTCAGGTATGCGAAAGAAAATTACCAATTCGCCTCGGTTGTCCACTATTCAAGAAGGATCCAGTTCTAGAACGTAGCTTTTCAAAATATGTTTCCAAATTCGAATGGATCTTGAGAAAAATGATTCGAAAATCGAATGCCAGTGCTACCTATATTTGTTAACGAAGCCGTGGCTCGGTGGGCGGGCGGAGCAGTCACCACGGAAAGCGGACTAGCAGACTAAGCAGAGTAAATTTATTTAGTTTTTATTTCTCAATATGTACAAGGCGAGCTTCGCTCAACAAATATAATCAAATGAAGAATTTGTCCCAATTAACGTGGGAAGGGACTGTGCACAAGACACTCATAGCATTACCCCGCATAATCTCCAAACTTAAACGTTGAAACAAAAAACAGGTAGAGCGGCTCTCGCCCGTCCTTAAAAATAACTTCTTACCAATCTCCTTTAACGTAACAATGCCGGTCTCACACCAGGTGCCAAAAGTCTCACATGCAAAAGGGACAAAATTACAGCGATCAGTAAGCGACTTGTATTTTCCAATCTTCTCCCGGCAAGCCAGTTCGGCGGCGGCTTTAAATTTATATTAAATAAATATAAATTTATTTATATGTGTACGTGAAACCTCTGAAATACGTACACCTCCGTACGAAAAATTTCGTACGTAATTCAGGGGTGTACGGAATTCAGATTAACTACCCCCAGCCCCCCTGGAGGTGACTAAATACTCAGGGCACTACCCCACTATAGAATGCTGAGTATTGTACATACTGCGCAGTGCGCACCGCATAAACCTTAAAAATGCACGTGCTTTATCTGTTTACTCAAAATTACATCAGTTTGCATATTATGTATGTGAACAGACGAGAACAACCCTCTTGCACACTTTTAGCAGCAAAGATTATAAAAGCCTAAGGCCTCGTCCCGAATTCAAAGCGAATCTCGTTGCGATACAGCAACTCCACCTCGCGAGGTGGCTTCGCGTACCGTATCTGTAGGCGTGGCCACTGCATACAGCTACCTCGTGCGGTTGAGCAACCGTACCATAACGAGATTCGCTTCGAATTCGGGACAAGGCCTAAATCTAGGTATAAAAATCTAACGATTTCCTGTGAGCTTGCTTTAAATCTTTGGATTTTCAGTTCAGTTCTGAAACAAAGAAAGAAGATAAGAAAGTTTAAAAGATTCAGTTCTGAAACAGCGGTGTACGCATTCACGAGGTGACTGCGTACAGTTCAATGCTTATGCGGTACACAAGAAAAGTGTACGTGTACACAACGCTGAGGTGTACGTCACGTAGAGGTTCCCCCGTATGCTATAGTCTACGGCGTAATTCGGTACAGCATTTATCGTACGTAATAGAGGGGTGTACGTTTCTCGGGGTGTACGTACGATGAGGTTTCACTGTATTTATTGTTTATTTTTCGAAGGCGTTTTCTTTTGCAGCAAATAACAAAATGCAACGAATTTGTGTTCATATGAAAGTTATTTTTGATAGAGTATGCAGTACTTTATGAATGCACTGGACTATTTTAATCGCGGTAGTAGCAACAAAATTTTTCACACTTTCTACATAAATCGTGAGAAACTAAAAAACACAAGCGAGTTACACAACATCTACAAACACAAGCGGGCGAATAACAGAGAATATTTCGTCTAAATTCGCCGCCGGTGTTGCTGTTCCCATTATAGATGCTGCGTTTCCCCCTGAATTTCGATGCTGATCCGTTGACGCAGAAACTCTAGTGCTCGCGGTTCGCCTGACTGCTGCTGGATCATCTTTCCTAGCACGTTCAGCAGCTGGGTGGTTTCTGGTCCGAATGTTCCGTAGGTCTAGAAAGCCAGGGGCTTGAACCAGTAATCTTGGGTGATGTTGCGGTATTTCTCGGTCTTGCTCCGCTCGGCTAGCGCTGCTGCCGCTCCGGCTTGAGTGGATGTGGAAGCGATGTATGCCAAGGCCATGGTGCTGCGGCAGGTTACATCCCACGCCAGCGCCTTTCCTCTTTCCCACGGGGAAATTGTCACTCCGTCCGGTCGTTTGCCATCTGTACGGGAGATTCCGGGAGGTTCCAGCTCAGTTTCAATTCCGGCCGATGAAAAGGCACGCTTAATTACCGCTTTAAGGCTTTCATGGGTCGGTTTCCGTCCGGCACTGAACTTGCAACTTGAACCATGATATCCATGCTCATCCGCTTGGTCACCGCAAATGCACTGGTGTGGTGTGCATACCAATGCACCAAGGCGCAGCGCTACAGCTGTCCTTAGGCTGGAGTCGTTCAGTAGGTTCCCAAGGGATGCTGCCGGTAGTGCTTGGAGCCATACACCCGCCTCTTTGGTACTGACTGCCAGCATCCGCGCCTGGCTGGCGAAAGCCCGCTCCAACAGTCTCAGTTGTGACCTTATAATAGGTTCGTCCCACGTTTTCTGCATTCCCCGAACTTCAGGTGGTGGCGCGTCTTGATTCGCCATCTGCTGCCATTTGGTGGTTGGTTCACTGCAATACGTCTCCGGCTGGAAATTCGTAATGGCGGAGGCTAAGGGAGCTATTGAATAAGCCGAGGCCAGAAAGGCCGGCAGTGCTAGCTTTACAATGCTCCTAATGCCCAGACCACCTCTTGAAACCGGAAGGGACGCCTGCGTCCAGATCACGTCGGTGACAACAGTGTTAGTTATTTTGGACAAGCTATCGCGTATCATGGTGTCAAATTCAGCCAGCAAGGGTTCTTGCAAGTAGCATCGGCCGGTACGCAGTTTGTAAAGCAGCCTTACCGGTCCCATACTGCATCGCAGTAGATAGAGTGCCTGGTGGGCTGGTGCAATTTGCAGACGTTCAGTCATTCGGGCGACTACCTCCGTTGCACTGACGAGCGCCCCGGTAACGGCATCGTCATGAAGTGGTGCGCCAAGGTACTGCAAATCCTTCAACGACGGGCACTTCAGGTCAGGAAATGACTGGAGAAAGGCAGCCGTAACCGAACTGCGGTCTGCTTCGGTCCACCCAACCACCACAAGCTCACATTTAGCAATGTTTAGTACCAGTCCACGTTTTTCCAAGTCTTCTTTCAGCGTACACAAGTCGTCAAAAACATCGTCTGGCTCTCCTCCCAGGGCGTCGTCATCGAGAAAGCTTTCGCGGAAAGCTGATTTAAGATGCTTATACGAGCCAACTGTTGACAGACAATTGGCTCGTATAAGCATCTTAAATGCACTTAAATCTGTAATACTTGGTAATGTCCTACGTTGTCCTTCTTACCTTGACAACTGGCCATCTAACGACCATGACCATGACAAAACAGTGGTATGAAAGTTCAGCTGCGTTGCATGCTAAAGAGCTCGGGTTAACAGTTACTTATGAAAACCTAATCCTTATTATTATTATGGCTGTCACGGTAGCTACACAGGTGACTGTGTCACCTGTGTAGCTACACTGTAGTCTGTAAAGATGTTCTTCCAATAGGATCTATAAAAACAACTTTTTTAATGTTAACGTTGCATTTGCATTCTCGAACTTGAATCTCTAGTCTCGTGAACACCAGCCTTCACGTCGGTTAAATTTCTTTATTTAATATGTACCTGAAAGCTATCGATAAAGAAAATTTGTTTCTTCTTTTCCATATTCTAAAATTTTCGGTGAAAACTAAGAAACAAAGATGTGATGAGTCTCTCGATGGAAACGAATTTATACACCGATGGCTCATAACTCGCTCCATTTCTATAGTTTCTTCGAGGATGCAGATATAGGTATGAGCTGTATTTGCAAGGGCACACCGACAACTCGCTGACCGACAGCTTGCTGACGACCAATTTAAATGGTCGTCAGCACCGGCAAAATGTTTACCCGACAATTTGCTGAAACAACAAATCGCGGGCGACATTTTGCTAAAAGACAGTTGGCAGACACCGAAGATTTCCTGACGACTCCTTGCTGACCGACAAAATGTTTGAGACAATTAAATTTTGTATACATACTAAAATGTTGACCGACGTTTTACTGACCGGCGTTTCGTGGAAGGAATACTGACAACTCTCTGACCATAAATTTATTCTGGTTTCCATCAAATCTTTCCGAAACACACTATTGGCCCACATGTTATCGTATATGATACTAGTTACGTATTTATTTTCTAATCATGCTCGTATTTTGCTGTACTTATTACACACTTATTACAACAGAGTGGAAGTACGGAGAGCAAGGCTACCAGAATAAGGTTACCAGGTTACCAGAATAAACGCGCAATACAGGTGTCTATTATTCGTAATTTTAGCATGACACGGCATCAATCAACAATTCAGCACCGCGTAAAACAGCCTGAAGTAAGTATCTGTATGTGCAATCGACAGCTCCGAAGCGGCAGCCGTCAGGCCAAGTGGATATTTACTGTACGAAGAAGTGCTCTGTCAACGTCAACAGTATTACAAGCGTTCTTTAGATGATCACCAAGCCCGTGTTTTAGTGCTTCTAGTTTCTACGATTTTGCATCCCCCATTTTTCTACAATATCACAATGTCAGGACCGAATTTGCGTCCAGGTCCATGAAGGAACCGTGGTATGGTGGAAAGACCTGGTATCCTGCCAAGGACGTGCGCCTGCAGTGCTACAGCAATGATAACTGCGAATGCGTACAAGTACAGATGTCCCACGGTACCATCCAGGAGCTGCTTCCCCTGCACCAGGTGGCCTCGTCGCCCCCGGCCGAGGACTGGCCAAAATGGCGCGTGCTGGAGGGTTTCTTTGTGGTCCGTTCGTGTCCTCTGCCGGCCACCTACGAGGCAGGGGGGGGGGGGGTCTCAGAAGCTGGAGGAGATCTTCAAGTCGCACTTGACGGGGCAGTTCGACATTGTGTGCATCTCATTTCACACAACCTTTATTGAATTACATCGCGTATTACTCAAGTAACAAGGGGTCTTCTTTTATTGATTTAGTTAGCAGGAAGAATTATAAACATCACATTCCGAAACATTACAAAACAAAATAAACAGCATTAAGACCGTCCGAACGTGGAACAGTCGACGTTATCGACAGCGCATTTCCTCTCTGTATTTCAATGCTAAGACGCTGTAGCAAAAACTCGTAAGAGCGTGCTTCTCCAGTAGCATCCTTTAACCGCCTCCCCAGTTCCCGTAAGAACTTCAGACATGCTGGGCCGGTGACACCGGAAGTCTCAAAAGCTAAAGGTTCAAAGTCGTACTCATTGGCCAGGTAGTCGTACTTCCGGCGCTTTTCTTCTTCCGCCTTCCTTGCTGCTTCTCCGGCTTTGGTACTGCTACTGATGACATTAGATAAGGCAAACGAGTCCACGCATGTGACATCCCAAGCAAGCCGTCGTCCGTTTCTCCAAGGCAGCTGTGATACACCATCCGGCCGCCGTTCATCGACGTCACTGGTCCCTCGCGGTTCAAGTACTGCCGGTATATTGGCGGTGACTAAGCTTCTTCGGATCACTTCATTCAAGGCCGAATGCCGTATGAAACGGCCTGCGCTCTTTTTACATGACAGTCCATGATGACCATATTTGTCCACGGGTAAGCGACAGTCAGTGCACAGATGAGGACTGCAGAGGGGCGCACCGATCCGTAGTCCGACCGCTGCACGGAAGCTCTCATCCGACATCAAAGTTCCAAGAGAAGGCGTAGGTAGAGCGTTCAGCCATTTCCCCGATTCCGGTTGAGCAACTGCAAGCAAACGCGCACGGTGGGTTATGTCATTCGCAAACGTGTTCATGATAACTTCGCAAGTTTTCTTCACTAAAGCGGCGTCCCACACTTTTTGTAATCGCCGAAGATTTTCTGGTGGTAGCTCAGCACCCGATGCTGTTTGCCACAACTGGTGCACCAAGTCACGACTTTCCGATCCAGAGGTGATGTCGGAAACCAGAGACGATGTGGCATAAACCGAAGCCAAATAGGCTGGAGTTGCTAGTTCTGCCACACGTCTGATTCCCAAACCACCACATGAAACGGGGAGCGATGCTTGGGCCCAAGTGACACCGTCAATCTGAACGTTTGCTACCGACTCTAAGGCTAATCTGGCAACGCTGTCAAACTTGTCCAGCTCGTCCCCGCATAGCCAAGTTGGGCATGCTCGAAGTAAATAATTCAACTTGGGGACACAAATGCAGGTTCGCAGAAGGAAGTAGGCCTGGTGTGCAGGCAATATACTTAGCTTCGAGGAAAGTCTCTCCAGGTCCTGTGTCTTCTTAAGAATTGCGTCCGGGATTCCAGCCTGCAAAAGAGGAGCACCGAGCAGTGACAGTTCACTTTCGTCAGGCTGCAAAAATTCGGGGTGACACTTGCTAAATGTCTCCCGTACGATTTCGCGTTCTTTTAATGTGCCCCCAAATACAAAAAATTCAGATTTTCGAGATTCAACTGCAGGCCGTAATCTTTTGCAACAGCAATGATTGTGTAACGTAGGTTCTTACTAACTGTAACTCAAAGCTGGCTAGATGGTATAAGTCTTTATTGATCTAAGACTGACTAAAACTATCAACGATTTTTAGTATTGAAAACATAGGACTTATATATGAGAACAGATGGACAAGACAACGTCCAGTTACACAACGTTATTGGCGTATAGTGAATAGAAGTTATGACATTCAAACGGATGCACTTCCGTGTTGCGTAATATGCCTTTGTTGGCCAGTGCGTTATACAGCAACGCACTGTGGCTCGAACGCCAACCGGCACTTATGCATTGTGTAACAACTCTGTTGGCCAGTGAGTTGTGTAACAACTCACTGTTACTGTTATGCCAACGACCAGTACATACGTTGTGCATGTACACATGATAAATCATGTTACACTCCCCTTCTAAAGAAAAAAATAATTGAAAATTATTTATAAACTGGTCTTGTTTTTCTTTCACGTAAATTGTATCTTGGCTCATTGTTGTCCCTGTGTGGTGTTTTGGTGTTGCTTCCAGTGTCTCTGTTCTCTGTTGTATGTTGTTCTTTTGGAGTCGTTTTAGCGAGTTGGATATTCTCCTCTTCATCTAACTTGTCGTACCACGGTTTCAGTTGGGAAACGTGGACAACGTCCTTCTTGCGTTTTCCGTTTATGTTCTCAATTTCGTAGTTAACGTTGTTCAACTGTCGGATTACGCGATACGGTCCGTGCCAATGTTTAAGCAGTTTGGTGGTAAGCCGAGTGTCGGCTGGGATAATTTTGCCATCTTTGTTAACAAGCCGAGGTACGTTCCAGCGGTACACAAGGTCATTTGGTTCGTACTGCGCAGCTACTCTCCTCTCGTTATACGGTACTTGATTTCTTTCGTTTCCATCAATACATCGTAGTTTGGCTAATTCCTGTGCATCTTTTATATATTCCGTAGTCTCTCTCACATAATGGTCAAGGTCGTGAAAGGCTTCCGGTTGGTTTAATGCTGTGTCGAGGGCAGATGTTGCTTGGCGTCCATGTAGGAGTTCGTATGGAGAGTATTTTGTAGTGGCGTTGACGGTTGTATTAATGCAGTGTGTTACGAAGGGCAAGTAGTTATCCCATTTGTTGTGGTCGTCGCAGTATTTCGACAGACATTCGGCAATAGTCTTGTTTGCTCGCTCTGTCATTCCATTACTTTGTGGATGATATGAAGTCGTAAACCGTTGTTTGCAGTTTAGAAGCTTCGTCAACTGTGACAAAAGATCATTGCAAAAATGTCTCCCTCGATCGGATACGATGTATTTTGGTACCCCATGACGTAGGATGATTTGCTCCATTATAAATTTAGCGGCGTTCTCTGCTGTGGCATTTCTTACGGCTTTTGTTTCTATCCACTTGGACAGGTGGTCGATTGCAACTATAACGTATTGGTTCCCCTTTGAGGATGTTGTATACGGGCCTTGATAGTCTATTCCGATGGTGTGCCAAGGTCCTTCCACGGGAAACGGTTGCATCAAACCTGATGGTTTGCCTGTGGAGGCTTTTAACATTACAGGAAATACATTGTTTAATATATGCAGATATGGAGTCCGTCATGCCGGGCCAGTAATATTTGTCGTGAAGTTGGTGATACATTTTCTCAGTTCCAAAATGTCCATTTGCGTCGTGTGCATTATGCAAAACTTCTCTCTGCATTGATCTTGGGATGACTAACAGGGTAGCCATTTTATCGTTCCGGTATGCTATGCGATACAGTAAGTCAGCTATCAACGTGAATCGTGTACGCCGGTATTTATAGGCTTCGATGTGCGTCGGGCCTTTAAGGATACTGGAAATTCGCCTGCAGAAGTTGTCTGTCTGTTGCTCTTGTTTTAGGTTGGAAGTCGTTATGTGAAATAACGGGTTGGCAAATTTCAGATTTTAGGCGTGTTGGAATTGTCGAAAGGATATCTTGACAGGCAATCGGCGACAACGTTCTCTTTTCCGGCTCTGTATCCGATATTAAAATTATACTGCCGTAACCTTAAAATCCAACGTGCGTGACGTCCTGTAAGATTCTTTGCGTTTATAAGTCCTCGCAGAGCATTGTGGTCCGTTATAACTTCAAAAGTTCTATTTGGATCGCCTATATATGGGCGAAACTTGTCGAGTGCCCACACTACTGCTAATAATTCCTGTTCCGTGGCGCTGTAGTTCCGTTCGGATTTTGATAAAGCTTTACTCGCGTAGGTGATGACCGTTTTCCTTCCGTCGTTTTCGACTTGGTGTAGAACAGCACCGAGTCCAACACCACTGGCGTCCGTCTCCACTATGTGCCGTAAATTCCGGTCGAAATGTGCCAGAATGGGTTTCGTTGTTAATGCTCGCTTCAATGTTTCAAAAGCTTTCTGCTGTGTTTCTGTCCACTGGAAAGGTGTGTCTTTGCAGGTCAGTTGATGTAAGGGTGCCGATATTGTAGCGAGGTTCGGGATAAACTTGCTGTAATATCCGACCATCCCGATAAATCCTCGAAGCTGTTTCCTGGTTGTCGGGGCTTGGTAGTTTTGTATGGCTTCTACTTTTTTGGGATTGGGAAATATGCCGTCTGGATTGACAAGATGTCCCAAAAATTCTACTTCACGGTGTCCAAAGTTGCACTTTGATGGTTTAAGTTTTAGTCCTGCTGCCGTTAATCTTTGTAAAACTGTTTCTAAATGCTCAAGGTGTTCCTGAAATGTCCGGCTATGGATGTTTATATCATCCAGGTAAATAACGATGTATTGGCCAATTAATCCGGTAAAAATTTTATTCATCATGCGCTGGAATGTCGCGGGGGCATTGGTAAGGCCAAAAGGCATCACCTCGAATTGGTATTGGTTTGTCGAAGTAAGGAAAGCTGTTTTCACCTTGGATGATTCTTCAATCGGAATTTGCAGGTATCCTTGAACTAGATCTAGACTAGTAAAATATTTACTACCTCTAAGCGATTCTAAGCAGTCATCGATCCTTGGAATTGGGTATTTATCTTTGACAGTAATTTTGTTGAGGTCCCGATAATCCACACATATACGAATTTTATCTTTTTGTTGTATTGGAACTAAATTAGCTGCATACTGGGATTGGCAAGGTGATATTATTCCTAGGTGTATCCATTCATCTATTTGCTTATCAATTGCCTCACGTTCCCACTGAGAAAATCGTCTCAGGTGCCTTGATGTTGGTTCGTTATTACCGGTGTCGATGTAACACTTCGCACAATTTGCACGTCCCATTGGTGACTGCTTCGTTGGAAAAATCTCGCGGTATTTAAACAGTAATTTCAGGAGCATTTTCTTCTCTTCACCGGTGAGTTCCGGTCCTAGCTTGACCATATCTTCAATGTCGGCCATTGACAGCTGGTCCTCTATAAATTTTGATGAGTCCCCCAGGAGGTCTTTCGGGCTTAACTGCCCATTTTCTTCTGCGTACGCCTTCTCCTCCTCTTCTCTTTCTTTATCTCTCTCTTCTTCAATCTTTTCTCTTCTCTCTTCTTTCTTCTCTTCTCTCTACTTCTTTCTTCTCCGGAGACTTCTTTGTTAACATCATGCCTTCAGTGATTCCTAGGTTCTTCACTGATGAACAGTGCTGCTCCTCCCTCTCATCGCGCGTTTGATTGGGTGTTCGTACATCTCCAACCCTCCGACCAAATCGGCCAAACTTGGGCAAAGGTTGTGCTGAGGATGTCCGGTTGCGGAGTAGCGTATTCGTGGATGGTACTGGCATGGTGTTCTTTAAATCGGCCATTAGACGTGCCCTGGGATTGAAGACTTTATTTTGTTTGAAATCAATCACAAAGGGTGTTGACCGAAGATAGTCGGTCCCAAGCAGCATGGCATATGGGAACCCCTCTAGTATGGCTGCTTTCACCCATACTCTCTCTTTCATCAAATCTATGGGGACTCTGCATGATCCTGAAATGTTGAGTTTATCACCTGATGCGGACGTTGCGATGGTACCGTTCCATGGTTGTTTAGTCAAATTCTTTTCTCAAAAAATTTCTGATTTATTATTGAAATTCCTGATCCGGTATCTACGATGGCTTCTATTGGCTCATTGTCAACTCGTACTTTGCAGGTTATTGCGCCGGATGTCGAATTTGTACAGACCAGTTGATTGTTTACCGCAGCAAAAAGAGCCTTATCTGCCACGGCCTTTAGTTTAACTCAGGTATTTCCAGTGTGTCGTCGTGTTCTTCGTAGCTGAAGTACGACGGTTGCCTGTTGTTATTATTACTGTCGCGGTTAGAATTTCCTCCCCTGGAAAAATTGTTCGGGTTTCTTCTGTAATTCTGGTCCGTATTTCGTCCCTGGCTTCTGCATTCGCGAGCGACATGACCTTTTCTTCCACATTTATTGCATTTTGTCCAACAGTCCTTCTGCATATGACCTTTATTACCACAGCGGTGACATATTGCATCTGAACGAGTGTTGCGTCCGTTAAATCGGCTTTCGTTACGCCGGAAGTTGGGCTGGGATCCTCGTGTTATGTTTTCCACAATGTTGACTACTTGATCCAGGCGTTTAGACAAATCAGTTATTTCGCTGTTCCGTGTTTCCGTAAAGAAAACCTTTGCTTTTGAGTCATCAGCCTCTGATTCCCTTTGGGCCTTTTCCTTGTACTGCTCCTTAGTTGCCTCGGTCTTCAGCTTGTCCAGGAACTGGGCTACGGTTGTCGGTCGATTGGTGACAAAGTTCGATTTCATGCGTGTCGGGAGTTCACGAAATAATTCGTTCGCCTTTTCGTGCTCAGTGGCTGTAGGGTTGATGACATCAAACATTTTCAGGACTTTCGTGACGTATGATGGAGGATCCGACTTCGCTAAGTTCTGGTATTCTTCCTTCTTCAGGTCGTAGTCCAGGTCAGTAGGGCCAAAAATTTTAAGCAGGGCGTTCTTCGCGCTGATCCAGGTTACATGTTTGGTTTGCTCCGATTCCCACCATCTTAAGGCATTGTTGATGAAGCACAAGTTAAGATTCGTCAGTTTTGTCGCTTCCGTCCATCCATAAACTCGGGTAAAACTTTCGTAGCGTTCGGTAAACTCGCGTACATCTTCGTGTGACTCACCGCCAAATTTCGGGAAATCTTTAGGAGAAAGTTGCATTCCGGACGTTTGAAGAATGGTAGTAATGGGAGTTGATCCAGTTTGTTGCTGTTGTTGTTGCTGTTGTTGTTGCTGCTGTTGTTGTTGCTGCTGTTGTTGTTGCTGTTGTTGTTGCTGTTGTTGTTGTTTAAGTGAGGTCATTTCTTGAAGAAGTTGGTCGATCTTTCTTCCGTACACATTGTTTGTGTTGATTAATGTCTGGAAGGCCCTATCCTTTGTTGCTAGATACAATGCTTTAAGGTCAGCCTTGGACATCTTGAATGGAAAAGTTCCATTTTGGAGTTGGGATAGTGCGTCAGCTTCGTCAGTAACAGTGATCACGTTGTAAAGGTCAATTAGGATTGGGATGTCGTTTAGGCTAAACCGTCTGAGGATGTCGTGTTTTGAAATCAGTGGTTGTAGTCCTGTATGGATTGCTTGCACTTGGGTATCCTCAAATGTGATAGTGGTCATTGTTGCTGGATTTGGCGTTGATGTTGTGGAAAGGTCACTGTCTGTGTCTGTCGCTCTATTGTCAGTATTGCGTGTCTTACCTGCCTGGTTGGCAAGGCGCAGCTCGATGTCGGTTTGCTCAAAATTCTTATCCGGTATGTCGGTGTTACTACGAGTGTTCGGCATCAACTGATAAGAGGTCACAGAGTAATCCGTTCAGTACATATGGTGGACAAATATGGAAAGGTCAGGGTTATAGCAGAAACAGGAATCGGACTGAAATGTCAGATGTAGACAGCTGGAGCGGAACCGATAGTTAACTTATGTTGTAAGCTGTACGGAACTATTATGTCAGTTTAGTACATAAAGGTCAAATGTAATCCATTGTAATCCATAAAGATCGGTAGATACAGTGGGATCAGTGTGGAAAGGTCAATGGAGGTTGATAGTAAACACTTTATTCCCCCCTGGAGCCACCATTTGTAACGTAGGTTCTTACTAACTGTAACTCAAAGCTGGCTAGATGGTATAAGTCTTTATTGATCTAAGACTGACTAAAACTATCAACGATTTTTAGTATTGAAAACATAGGACTTATATATGAGAACAGATGGACAAGACAACGTCCAGTTACACAACGTTATTGGCGTATAGTGAATAGAAGTTATGGCATTCAAACGGATGCACTTCCGTGTTGCGTAATATGCCTTTGTTGGCCAGTGCGTTATACAGCAACGCACTGTGGCTCGAACGCCAACCGGCACTTATGCATTGTGTAACAACTCTGTTGGCCAGTGAGTTGTGTAACAACTCACTGTTACTGTTATGCCAACGACCAGTACATACGTTGTGCATGTACACATGATAAATCATGTTACAATTGCATTGACATCGTTCAAAACAACGGCTAGACTGCCACCTATCACACCATCATCCAAATACCAGGCGTTGAAAGGTGATGTTAAAGACAGTATTAGTGATAATATGAGCAGGCAAAATAATAACGGGCCTAAAGGGTCACCCTGTTGCACGCCCGCTTGGGACAGTATATCCCACTCCCCGAAAACTAGATTGCTGGGATCGCGGTAGCACTGGTCGATGAAACGAAAGTATTCTGGGAGCTGTGACTGGACACACTGCAACATTTTATCGCGATAAACCGTATTGAAGGCATTTCGAAAATCAAATTTCACGAGGACTTGCACATCGTCTGAAGGAGTAGAGATAAGCTGTCTTGCTGCATGTACGACTGCTTTACAACCGCCGGAGGTACCAAAACCTAGCTGATTCGGCCTTAGCTTTTCTCCCATCTGCTGTTGTACACGCTTCACTACGATTTTGGCTACAACTCGACGTAAAACACTACCAACTGCTATCGGCCTAATACCTCCCCCTTTTTTATTTAGAGCTGTTAAATTGGCTCCGTAAAGTACTGGTAAAATCTCCTTGGGAACCCGACCGGAAAGCATAAGGTCCGCTAGTAGTGCTAGCTTCTCACACAGTTGGGCGGAACTATCGCTCTTAATATCACTGATCATGTCTTTGAAATGCTGTGGTCGAAACCCGTCAAGACCACCAGCGGAATCGTGTGGAAATCTCATAACCGCTTCGAAAATTTCTTTCTGTGTAACCCGGTGTTAGCGTGGTGTCCACGCTCGTAAGGAAAAACAAGGAAAACACCAGCGCCACAAAACGATCGTTTATTTATTTCGAAGAAAGAAATAAAGGCACAATGCCCAGAAAGCAAATCTCATGCGCCAAACAAACAAGCTGTCAGAATGTAAATTCTGGCAGCGCGGATCTCCAGTGAATGAGCAACCGATCGCAGATCGGTCAAGCAAAAAAACAACTCGCACGTGCAAGTGCGCAAAAGTGCAACGGAAGTGGCGCGACTCTGCCTATCTATAAGGCAGCACCAACCTCCTAACATGCCACGGGTGGAACGGCGAGGCCCTCCGAAGCCCATGCAAAATCGGCAACAGAAACACACAAACACGATTGGTGAAAATATGATCAAAATGCGACCACAAAGGCGGCATATTCTATCGTTAACAATCACAAAATTCAAATGCAATTTTATGAGAGATCCATTCCAATGATGCTTTTCCGTTCCGGAGAATCGTCGTTCTCCAAATCACAGCTTTATCCGCTTTATTCGGTGTCCAGCTTTTCGTCAGCGTTCGGATCCGCATCGGACAGCATATCAACGTCAACGTCAGCAGTAGCGCCAGCAGTCGCAGATTCGGTTACAACGCCAGCAGCTACAACACTCAGTGCTGTGCCGATCGCTTCAGAAAGCACACCTTGTGCCGGTTCGACTAATGTCAATGCAACTGTTTGCGGCTCTTCCACAGTATCGTGGAAAACTTCGGTCTCTTCGCCATTTAGCGCAGTCGGTAATTTAATGAATGAATTATCTGGCACTGGGCCAGTCGCAATTTCTTCTTTCGGCCATCGATGAATTTCAGTCGAATAGAAGTCGTATTCATCTCTCGACATATCGGTGATTTTATTATTGACCAATTCTTTAAGTATGCTATGCACATACTCATCGCTCGATGGTTCAACATGATCGCGGAAACTCTGAGTAGTTTCGTAAAACTTCCTCTCGTGCGGTTTCATGCGCGATAACGATATAGTGCTCAGTAACTTTTCATTACGAGCATTCAACGCTGCTAATTTAGCAGCTTCTTGCGCACTCATTTGTCCAGTTGGGACGGCTGCAGTTGGCACAGGAGCAGCCGGTTGCTGCTGTCCTTGCACTTTTCCTGCAACTTTCGATTTATTAGCATTATTCGGTTTCTTATTATCGCCATTATTGGCCGGTAAACGCAAATTATTATCAACTGGTACAGTACTCGTATCTGTCGATTTCACAGTCGTCGAACTAATCGACGCTGGAGCGGACGATACTGCCACGGCTTGCTTATTTTCCACCGCTCGTGGAATCAACACAGGTTTGCTTCCCGTGGGCGCGCTCGGTTTGGGCGGCGGATTCGTACATCCTGCCACTCCTAATTGCGGCTGTGCGGACCGATTTCCTGTCACATTGCCTTTGCTCGTCGTAGGAGTATTTACGACGCGCATTTTATACACTGGCTGTTCGGTCTTACTTCCCGAAGGAGTATCCGGTGAATCGGGCACGTGCTTCCGATTGTTGAAGCTGGTGCCAGTCTCATACTGATTTTGACGATCTGCGAATCGCTTCATCCGCTCGTCCATATCGTCATAAAACTGATTAGGACCACCTTGATTAGTGTCCATTTCGGTCTGGCCAGCGGCGGCAAGAATATCACGTAATTCTTGTGCCTCCTGCTGTTCGCTTTTCGGTTGACCCAATAACAGGATCTTATCGCGCATTTGCCGATATTCCGGCCGATCTTTCTGCTTATAGATATAATTATGGGCGCTGTGGCTTCCAAGCAGCGCGGCTAAGATGCACATAACTGCAGTCTTCAGCCCGGTATTATACGGTATCGACATCCAGTCGATATTTCGATTACGAGTACAACGGTCCAAATTACTGGCTACCCGACAAAAGAAATGAAACTTTGCGGGATCGGTTTCCGGTAAAATGAATTGCAGGAGAAATGTCTCCGTATTCTTATCGCCAAAGATGCGGAATTGGGATAAAATCTCAATATCCACAGCGGTAATCGGTACATACAGCTGGCCAATATCCAACGCTGTACGCCAAAGAATTTGAACGGCGAGTCGCATATTTCTGCACGTCCAGCGATCGTATTAGATCGACATTAGCGTAGTCGATTTCTAGCATACGGCCTCGTAGCCCGATTCGTTCAAGCAAATCCACAGACTCGTGGATCATATTGCGGATCTGCGCTACGTCTGGGTTCTCTTCCCGGTTCGCGATTCCCAAGACGCCGGTTAATTTAAGCACATAGATTTCAACGTTATTGACGATGTGCATCACGTCTTTAATAACAGTTGCAGGATCAATTTGCAACTGGCGATTATCACGGTATCCGCGACGATGAACATCGCGCTGCTGATTTCCAGCCGGTTTATTCTGTACATTGCGCTGATTATTCGACTGCTGATCTCCAGCCGGTCGAACATTCTGCTTAGGCTGCTGCGATTGCGACGGTTGTTGCTGATATTCAGCCGATCGAACATTATCGCGATTGCGCTGTCTGCTGTTTCGTCTCTGCAATTCAGCAGACAATTTATTATTTAATTCGGTTAAATCTCTACCTTCGACTACAATATTCTTGCGCGACTGAGAATGGTGAGCAGACGGTTCTAGAGTATATTCAATTCGATGGCGGCCACCAAACGGAGGTCTGCCGCTACTACTGTCAGAGGACGGTTGTAAACACTCATTTCCCACTGACGTAGTCGATTCGTTTAACGACATATCACTTACTTTCTTCATCAGTCCCGCACGCGCGTCCGGTTGATTACGCGACGTGCTTGGCTGACGCTCGACATTCTGCGGTTGGCTAGCAGTTCGGGAACCAAACTGCTGCGCGACATTCGGGCGATATCCGCGCTCAGCGAGCCACGGATCGGTGCTGTTCATACTGCATGTCGCCTGCTGTACAGACGGAGTATTAGATTGAATTTTGCATAATTTACACGACGGTACATCGCAAATTTTTAAGTCATGTACCTGCATCGGCATCGGTTGACGATATTGCTGATATTGCGGCTGATTAAACGCCCAATCAGCTTGCGAATATTGCGCATTTTGCGCCGGTAGGAATTGTTGCGGAAATTGTTGATAATTCAACACCGGTTGCGGCGGCATCGTATATGCCTGCGATGAATTAGCATTAAAATTTAGAATATCATATTCCCACGTACTGGGAATAGAACGATCTAAGGGAATCATTTCCCACTCTTCTGCCGATAATAAAGTGCCCGCTAGGTAATTATTTACCTGAGTGTTCGGTTGTGACGGTGCGTTAAATCGCATCGCCATCTGCGACGGTGCTGCTCCAGGATCTGGCACTTGTTGCCAGTGGTCCCGTCGATTATTGACAAATTCGCGGACTGCGTCATTGATCTGCGCCAACAACCACGGTTTCCTCTGGAGAATCGATTCATAACGCGATTCCATTAGAGTTGTGTATGCATCCAGATTGGCGTGCATCACCTCGCTGACTAATCGCGTTACAACGGTGTCCGGATTAATACTGTCGATATTCTGCCCAAATAGGCAATCGGTGCATTTCCGATTATTCGTGTTGTGCTTGCAGCGATCACACGAATTCGATAGCGGCTCCATTCGGTCTACAAGAAGATTATTTGAATTAATCTTCAATTAATTACTCGATTTTTCTATAACTTGTTTAAACGATGATGTTAGAATTAGAAATGTATTACGTGTGCGTAATCAATAACTGATCTATGAGTGTACTATCTTCACAGCTGATCAGTGAGTGTAACGTCCACTCAGTACACCTATCCCTAATGATGGTCAGACTTCTGGGTGAAGTGCTGACTAATGTATGAGTGTTAAGTTACCAACTGTGCTATATAAGCGAGTGTTGTACAGAACATCTATGAACATCTTGTGGACATCACTGAATGAACAACTGCGGATGTGTCTGAGTTGGTTCGTTAGTACAGTTAGTACGGTAGTAAGTTATCACCTTCCTACAGACCATTATTTAATTTTTTATGAGAGATTGATGGAGACCTGGTGGTGTGGATGGATCTGCTGAAGAGATCGCCTTGATCGGTGTGCAAGTGCTAATGGAGAGATGGTGGCCAGGACCTGCCCCTCAGATGTCGGTGTTCCGGAAGATCTGGTAAAGAGTGAAGATCAGAGCGACAAATTGGACGCAAGATCGAAAGAAGGCGTGGACTGTGGTCTCCACGAAGTGAATCGGCAGATGGATAGGATTACGAGCAAATTCGACGTTTGGATCGTTTGGGTCGTACGGACCAAAGAAACGGATACCCGACGGGTGCGAACAGTCTCGTGTGAATCCTACCAGTCAAGCCAGCGGACTGAGAAGAATTACGACGAGAAGTACGCTTCAGTGCCGCGTAATGTGGTCGTCGAAGAACCACTACGGACGGACGTGAAGGTAAAGCAAGAAAGCCGACGAGCGGATGGCATGCTGTTACCAGAAAGCGTTGGAAGTCCAAAGGTCAAATGCAACAGCGGAGTGCTTGAACCGGAAGCCGGTGTGCTTGGATTGAAAGATAGGCGCACTGAGTGAAAGGGGGTGTTAGAATTAGAAATGTATTACGTGTGCGTAATCAATAACTGATCTATGAGTGTACTATCTTCACAGCTGATCAGTGAGTGTAACGTCCACTCAGTACACCTATCCCTAATGATGGTCAGACTTCTGGGTGAAGTGCTGACTAATGTATGAGTGTTAAGTTACCAACTGTGCTATATAAGCGAGTGTTGTACAGAACATCTATGAACATCTTGTGGACATCACTGAATGAACAACTGCGGATGTGTCTGAGTTGGTTCGTTAGTACAGTTAGTACGGTAGTAAGTTATCACCTTCCTACAGACCATTATTTAATTTTTAAGAGATGATTTTAACGGTAATTAAGTCGATTTATTTGGTACGTTACTAAACGATTAGAATTCGGTACACGATCAGTACGAGAGGTACAGACCACGATTTTACGGGGGATTTCCGATTATTTATTCGGAATATTATTCGGTTAAATTATCGACTTCATAGTTTACGCAAAGGTACGGACCACACGTTCGTGGGGATTTTTCGATCAAATTATTACGGTAGCTACAACTTATCGGTACCATATCTACTGTATTAATACTACAGTAGTCGATAATTGGATAATTTTAAAATTATTCAACGGCGTGATGATGAGCCTGCTTGGCCCAATGCTTCATTAATTCGCCAAGTAATACCTTGCTGTGGATCATTATGAGAAATAATGACCGGATCCAACACGAGTTCAGACGCAGCTAATTCTACATAATGATCGACACGATTTCCCATATCGGGACGGATCGTGCGAGTATACTGAATTATTTCATCGATTGTCGATCCATCTGGATCAGCGATCTCCCTAATTGTACGTATCACAACTTCTTGCCACTGTCTCGCATCAAACAGTGGATAATTACTCAAAAACGAAATATTCGGTGAGATTGTATGATATTCAGCCAATCGGTTAGCATTAAATCGGCGTAACAGACGGCTATTCTCAGATTCGCGATTAAGAGCGATTGCTACTGCCTCAGGATTATAACGGTATCTGAGACGATCCATTATTCGCCCCTGTGTCGGTTCCTGACGGGTTCTTACGATCTGACTGATAGTTTCAATCAGTACGCTAGGAGTCGGTTCTGGAGGCGGTGGCGGTGGTTGAACGATCTTTACGTTCTCACGCTTACGATCCGGTGACGGGAGTCCCAGTTCTTTAACTGAGATTCCTGTAATAGAACTCATTCGCGTTCGATTACTGTCCATAAGTGCGTATCGTGGCACATTTAGGCCAGTTATTTCGATTAAAACCTCCCGACGCACTAGCTCATGAATAGCTTCCAAAATCATAGGAAACTGCCGTGCGGGAGCCACTAAATTCATCGGCATCGTTAAAGTAATATAATTGGCAATCTCTGCCACGGTAGATCCCTGTCGATTATGAATATCGCGTATAGCGATAGTCACGGCTTCTCGAAAACTCTCCGGTGTACTGATTACCATTAATTGGTACCAAGTCTGACGGAGATATGTCGGTGAATACATTATTGTCGGTGACCAATTAATATAAACTTCGAGCATTTCGCCCCGATTAACTGCACCTTGAATGGCTAATCGAAATTGTTCTCGATCAGCCTGTCGATTTATATGCGTTCGATAATTCTGATACAAATAATTAAACGCAGCGGCTCTCTCCCTGTTTTTTAATTGACGAAAAAATTCAAACGCTGCGTCCAGCATTAAAGATAATTCATCTTCTGCTGTAACTGCTGTAGACGGTTCGGGCGGTGAAACAGTAACAAGTACTGGCGATGAATCATCCGAATCTTCCGGCGATGGTTTTTTACTTTCCGGTTTCTTAACTACAGGGATTTGTTCCGGTATTTCAGGTGATGCAGATCGGGTTGGAGGTTCGACATTTCCCCCCGTCTGATCCTGCATAGATCGGTCTACTTCTGCTACTTCGACATTTTGTTCGTCGATTCGCAATTTACCCGGTTCATCATCATCGTCGCTATCATCAAAATAGCTACGATTTATCTGATCTCGCACTTGGGAGATCTTCCGCTGTAGATCTTCCTGTTCTTCGCGCAATCGCTGTCTACGCTCAGATTCGCGTAAAACAGGTTCGGTTGTCTGATTTTCAACTGTCTCTGTAGACAGTCGCGGTATTTTCGGTGGTGATGGCTGCCCATCATTAGCTTTCTTTGGCACGCGATCAGACTGCGCAGTTGGCGCTGTGCCACTCTGCGTGAACGGTGGAGTCGGTGCCAT